TTCACTTAAAAATAATTCGGTTTATACAATTTTTAAATTAACTTTCATAGAACAGCATGGTGGCGATCACCTTATTCCCAAGGGTTATTTTCTTTCATGTATTCCTTTATATCATTACATTACCCTTTTTGTACAGTTTTTCTTTAATAAAACTTTTAAACTTTTTTATTGACAAACTTTGAACATGTTCTGGGATTTTGTTGTAAAAGCGAATTCATTACCCCATAAATGAATTACTGATTCTGTGGAGTCTAGTAACTGCCATTACAAGCTTATGTTTGTTCCTAGTGTTTAAAGTATGAACATCCTTATTCTTATTAAAGCTATTTATGTTTTTATGTACATACATTAAATTTTCATAAAAATATTGCGATCATGTCCTATGTCAGTCTTTATGGCACACACTGGCTGATATAGGTAGTGGATTATCCTAAACCGTCACTACACGGCATAATAACCATGCAATGCAACTAATTATGCAAAATTAACTAAAGCTGTATAAAATTCGCCGTATCTTATTATTTTGTGTCAAGACAGAAGACGCTCATACCCCATTGTCTGTTTCATTTCCCACTGTCTATCTTACGACACCCACGGGATGATATAAGACAGTGTATGTTCTTTCGCCGCCACTGCACAGCGTAATCTTTAGAAATTGTATTTATTTAATCTCTGTCTATATCTTGCAATCCCATGGCCTATTGACTGGCGACGCCATTGCAATTAACATTGTGACCTAACTCTTCTAACCTACTTAAAATCAATGCTTCAAAGGTAAAAATAAGAATCTTTTATATCTCATTGTGAGTGTAACTATATAGTTTAATGAAAAAAAAATTCTTAAAATCTAATAGTTTCATATGCAGCTAAATATTAAAAAGTATAATAAAACATAGTTTAGAAAATCCAAAAGAGCACGCATCATGAGCGTTTCATTTAATTTTGATGAAAATAAAATGTTATCAAAATAAATCGATTACACATAGTATAAAATCGATGTAGGCTGTATGGTACATTTGTCCTTTGTCTATCAAGGGATAAAGAATAAAATGAAAGCACCATAAAATTTTTAATAGCAATAAAATTTATAAAAGTTGAAAATAATTTCATTAACAAACGACGCGGCTATTGATATGAAATAGGGAACCAGTTGACATAATTCTGAAGCTAATTAAAAAAACAGGAGGTTTTTCGGGAGTTATCGTGACTACATACAAAACTAACATCCGGATGCTCACGTAAAATTTTTTTAACCGTTTTTTTTTTATCAAAGTAGCAATATAAAATGATTTTTTAGAAAATATGAGATGGATTAAATAGACTGTTTTCTTGATATACGGCTACTCATATTATCGTAAATGAGCAATATGGTTATAATAGCATTTTGAGACCACAAAATTGCTTCACCTTGATGTGTCGGGGCGTGTAATATATATAAATTTATTTTCTCAGTGAGATGAAGTCTTTATTCAATACTTCATGTCACTGAGAAAATAAATGTAAGAAATTGAAATCTCGGGGCAAAGCCCCCGCTTACCCGGGGGGCCATTTTCTGTAATCATGAATAATTTGATTTCACCAATCAGCTCGTGATGACGTACGATGTTCATTTCAATTTCCTGTAGCTGAAAAATAAAAATAAATAACCAGAGAGATCTCTGACCTTATACTATTATTGAATTTAATATGGTATTCTTTTTTTTTCCAAAATATACAAACAATGTATATATACATTCATTAAGTAATTATTAATTGCGGAGGAGGTAGGCAGAGCCTAAAGAATAGCCAGCTGCTCGGACCGCGTTTAGCCAAGAAAAGTATGGGTTAGAAAGAAAAAAAGAAAGAAATAAGTTTATTTGGCACATACTCTTACATTATAACAAAGAACAATAAATCAAGTAAAACAGAAAAAAAAATATTTTTCCTCTTAACAAAAATATTTTTAAAAAGAAATAATATGGACCAAAATGGTCTCTACTCAGCTTTAAGTCACGAATTGAAGATATAGGGTTAAGATGGAAAACTGTGAGTGTTAAGTGGCTAGTCCCATCGCCTACACAATCTCAAGCCCAATATCCCACTAATCACCAATAACGATATATAAACATGAGACCTATCATTTCCAGACCAACATGGGACACAATCATATCATTTTTTTTTTATAGAATGGGCTGACAAGCGAGCTCATAGTCCACCTGATGGTAAGTGGATACTGCGGCCCATACACACCTACATTTATCTTCGATTAAGAATCAGCAGATGCGTTTTCATCTCTGAGGACTAAGGTGGAATGCCTCGTTTCCATTTAAAAGGGTCTCCTGTTCTCTACACTCACCATATGAAATTCAGCAGCGATAAGCTGCTATTTGACGCTGATATTCTGTGCTGCCTACCCATTCGTACTACAATAATAATATAGCTGCAGCGTGGCACTATCACTTAAAAAAATTGTAATAAGACTTTCGTAATATGGATTCACACCATGTCAATTCTATCGTAACCTAATTTCAACTAAAAGCAATTCGTTGAAATTTCGAGAGGCAAATCCTACCTTATCCACTGCTGGACATGCCCTCTCTGGTTGTAGGGACGATGATGAAGCAAATGATAAAACCAAACTTGATAACACTTTACCATCGTCTTACCTATTCCCGCCACCACGAAGCTGTGCCACCCATTGCTATGATCCTGTTACTCATCAAGGGTGACAATGCATTTGGTTGCACCTATAGCCAGAAAGAAATGGCCTCGTCAGTAAATAGGAGACCCATTTCCGTCAAACACCATCTCCGGTATCCGGTCAACATAATCGACATACATACGTGGTAGAGTTTTGCTGCAGCTATATTATGGTTGTAACACGAATGAATCTCAGTCAGAGAAGTACCACGCTCTCGCAGAATACCAGCGTAAAATAGCAGCTTAATGCTGCTATGTTTCGTATGGTGCAGTAAAACATGGTGCGTGGAGAGATTCGAAGACCATTCTTACTGGTAACGAGGTATTCCATCTTAGTCTTTGGGGGTGACAACGCATCAGCATTTTCTTTCTTATTCGACGATGGATGTAGACATCTTTGGACCACAGCATTCAGTTGTCATTGGACGGATTATGTGCTCGTTAGTTTCGGAATTTCTTTAAAAAAAATTTACATATTATACCGCGGTTTAATATGATCGTCTAACAGAAATCGTCACGGTTATTCAATAATAAGGATTTCTTAAGTTTTAATTTTCATATATTAACCTATGTAATATAAAATGTTTTTAAGGTTCAAGAATAGCACTACGATCCTAGCAAAAATCAAAAATGTCTGGCAGGATGGGCTATTAGCCTCAGGCTCTCCTCACATGCTCGGGAAATGTAGACATATGTGCGAAACTAAATTATATTTTTTTATAGGATAGGGTGACAAACGAGCACATAGTCGACCTGGTGGTAAGTGGTTGATGTGACCCATAGACATCTACATCTATCCTCAATAAAGGATCAAAATACAGATGCGTTGTTACACATGAGGACTAAGATGGGCTGTCTCTTTTCCAGTAAAAAAGGTCTCCGGTTTTCTACACTCACCATACGAAACACAGCAGTGTAAACACCTTATATTTATACTATTTATACACCTTATATTTTTGTAAACACTTCAATCTACCTTTACTTTATACATAGCATTCAGATATTTTAAGATTTGTTATTTGTGAGACTTTATTTTCTGATGATAGATATTATTTCTGGCCATTTTCTATAGCCTATACGCGCGGCCATTTTAGTAGTTTGATACATGGCGATCTCTATAATAAGATACGCGCGAAATTGGATGCACCAGTTGCATTAAAAATTGTCTAAAATTTTGTATGAAATTAGTTTTACTCACTACAAGAAAATAATATTAGAAAACATTATTGCCAGTATTGTTTAAAAATATATTTATAATATTTATATAATCCCAGTTTATAGGAGTCGACCCTTGCAAAATTTGATCTCGCCTGCTATGTCTCACTGGCGTCACTTACGCAATTTGCTCGTAACTCCTTCCGATGCTCCGTTTGTTCTGTCGCTACGACATTGACTTTGAACTCACGCAAATCGAGGAAGTGTTGTTTTGGCAATGGCGAAGCAAATTGGCTAATGATCGGCCCGAGCATTGCCCAAATGGTTGTCGGTATTGTTCTTTTGGCCTGGGACAAAACAAGTATAATATATTCAAGCGCACTGGGGAGACTAAAGACTACATAAATTTATATAATATTTTTTGTATTGTGAGGCGTACATGACATAACTGTAACGAAGCATTCTATCAAATTCTACAGGGGTTATAACGCACGTGAATTTTATTCTTAATCAAGATTAGATGTAGGTGTATATAGTATTTACTTACGGCCAGGAAGACTGAGTGTCCTTCATCATTCTTATTTCTAGAAACAAATAACGATCAAAGCACCAGAAGTACCGCTGCTTTCTACCGTGGAATGGTTATAGTAACATCTTTTTACACATTAGATAAGGCGGGGTGAAGGGTTCATCTAATAAACCTTTCACACGGTTACGTTGCCTTCATTTTGCAATGTACTACCACACATAAGGACAACCCATGCTGAGTAATGACCTTTTTTGGCCAGCATTACGACGCGCAAAGTTAAACCAAAAATTCACGTAGTATGAAGTTGTATATTATTGTATACATCAATATTTTGCGCCACAATTCTTTACACTCACAATACGAAACACAGCAGCGTTAAGCTGCTATATTACACTAGTGTTCTGTGAGAGCGTGGTCCTTCCCCGGTCGAGCCGAACTATTCGTTGTGCAACAATATTGATAAACTGCGTTTGCCAACCCATCTGTCAAGTGTAGCAATTACCGCAAAATAAAGGCTTAGGTTTTATTCAGCAGTAGATTTTTGACAAGCTGTCATAAATTTAAAAAAGTTATCTTGAATTTTCTCCAACTTGAAACTACAATACTTGAAATAACATTGCTGTTCTTTGTGGTACAGTTGCAACACTCCTCGGCCTTCAACAGCTAGGCATGTTGCCCCAGCACAAGAGCGGCTTCTTCTGCAACGATCCAGCACTGTCGTATCCATACCTTGGCGACACGATTTCAATGGCAGTCATCATCTGCTCCATAATTGCGTGTCCATTGTTTCTGGTATGTATTTAGATTTTACCTATCGTATTCTTTTGGCTACGATTTTTATGAAATTAGAATTTAAACTTAAATAGTGGAAAAAAAGATCAAATTTTAAATAAAATCAAAGTCAAAGTGAACATATGACTTTTTTAACTTTAAGCTCTACCACCGGTTCCAAAAGCCGTAACGTAATTTGAATATAGCGACATCTGTTGTCGTCGGATAGAGTATAAGGTACGTGAGGGTAATATTACGGTCACGTTAAGCTTTGTGCCCTATTAAACCAAAACTAGGAGAAGGACAGTCAAATACACAATGTCGTATACTGTAACTAATATATTAAGAAAAAAACTAGCAAACACGCCTTGGCAATAATTATAAAAACTTCGAAAAATCAACTTCAAAAAAACTAACCACACTAGCCAAATTAAAATCGATTAAAATATCTACTATAATATCATCTGTCAAAATGGCGTCGATAAAGCGGCGCCCTTTTGACCCTTTATTATTTGAATGACCGATGAAGAGCTATCGTATCACAAAACCATCTATGCAAATAAGGCTGTAGTTTTGGAGTTATAAGAAAGTGACCATATTAACCGGATTAACATATTACCCTCGTGTACTATAGTATAAATTATTTGCACTAAGCCGTAGGATTACTTTTTTGTCTGGAAGTCTGTATGAATACACTGTCTGTATAAATAGGCATACACTGCTGAATTCCGCTCCGAAGGTTATAAAGAGCCATTAAAGTTACAGACTGTGAGGCATTCCATCTTATTCCTAAGATCTGACAACACATTCTTTGTTTGAAGTTGGTAGTAGGTGTCCTTTAGCTGCAGTAGCCACTTACCAGTGACCAACAAACATAGAACCTACCTAGGCTACCAACAAACATACAGCCTACCTAGGCTGTATGTTTGTTTGCCACTCCAGTTATATAAAAAAAAACTTCTTATTTTATCGCCACTACTAGTTAGACACATAAAGTATCATGTTTTACTTTGCTTTCAGATCTTGATCACAGAACTGGTGTTCACTGATGCAGAACAATCAACACGATTGAAGTTAGTCCATTCGTCCAAAAAGGCTCTTTGGCTGTACAGAAGCTATGCCTATGGCTTGCTGTTTAATGTCTCAATCATTGAGGTGATGAAGGCCGTGTCTGGTAATCCAAGGCCAACCTTCTTCGATATATGCGAGCCTGATACGGCTAAGACTTGCAATGGGTAAGTTTTACTTAAACATTGTATTGCAAACAAGTATTGCCACGCTGCAGTATAATATGGTGAATGTAGAGAGCCGAAGACCCTTTTACTGGAAACGAGGCATTCCATCTTAATCCTCAGGGATTACAACACATCTGCATTTTGATTCTTAATTGTTGATGTCGATGTCTATGGGCCACAGTACCCACTTACCATCAAGTGGATGTGTGGTCGTTTGCCATCCTTATTCTATTAAAAATACTTCATGATCATTTTGTACAATCATGCTTCTTTGGCTTTATGTAATTATTTTTTTATCAATAGGGTTTGTCAACAATTGTAAATATGTTGGTTTTTTCTTCAACATCATCATCGTCATCAACATTTAGGCCCTCCTCCGTTGTAGTATTTTTTTCATTCATTCGCTCATTCTTTACAACCTATATATATCCACTGCTGAACTTGTTTCATAACTACTAATTGACTTTGCCATAGTTGCCACGCTCAGCTACCGCAGTTTATTTATTATTTTGAATTGTTCTTAGAAGGACGCAGCTGTCTATCTCCTGTTTGGTTTCCCTCTTTCGGGACGATGTGGCATAGTGGATATTCTTACACTGTCACAACAAGGTTATGTTTTTTACTCATCATAAATTTTCCTTCGTCATCTTGACATATATCTTTGCGTTTATTTAATACTCGTATTTGTTGAAATTGAGTGTGAAATAACACGTTAAGTAGCTGCTGCGCCCGCTTCCGTCTCATATAACTCTCGATAAACATTCAATCCATACGTATGTCAAGTGACGAAAGCTAATAACGTATCGATTTCGACGAAACTCCGGTTTCAAAACAAATTCGATTAGTGCAAAGCCATATTTTTACGGATTTGACCGAATCATGTTTTCCGTGTTTTTCGTGTTGGGTAATAATCTATCATTATAATATTGATTATGAGACGATCGTTTTCAAGCATAGCAAATGCTGAGTTTATTGATATATAAAAAACTAACTAGCACTAACTAATATCAGCTTAGTGCTGCTGTGTTTCGTATAGTGAGTGTGGAGAACCGGAGACACTTTTTACTGGAAAAGAGGCAGCCCATCTTAGTCCTGACGGGTGACATCTGTATTTTAATCCTTTATTGAGGTAGATGTAGATATATATGAGTCACATCAACCACTTACTATCAAGTGGACTGTGTGCTCGTTTGTCAGCCTCTCCTATAAAAAAATATAATTTAGTTTCGCACATATGTCTACATTTCCCGAGCATGTGAGGAGGGTCTAAGGATAGCCCATTCTGCCAGACGATTTTGGTTTGTGCGTGGTAAAGCCATGCTGCAGTTATATTAGTCGTATAATTGTAGCACAAATGGGTCGGCTCGACCAGGGGAAGAACCACGCTCTCACAGAATACCTGTTTCGTATGGTGAGTGTAGAGAATCGGAAACAGTTGTTGACGGCTCCATGGCGCAGTGGCTTAGCAATGAGTTGTTGCGCTGGGGGCCGCGGGTTCGAATCCCGCACGGAACAAGTATTTGTATGGCCTACAAATAAATGTTACGGGTCTGGATGTTTGTCCTTGTGCAATTTATGTTTCTAAACTGCCTCCACGACACAGGAAAAAATCCTAGTGTGGGGGTAACGTTATTTAAAAAAAAGAAAGAAAAGAAAGAAAGAAAGTTTTTACTGGAAACGAGAAATTCCATTTTAGTCCTCAGGGGAGACAACGATCAACATTTTGATTCTTAATTGAGGATAAATGTAGATGTCTATAGGCCACAGCATCCAATTATCATCAGGTGGACTGTGTGCTCGTTAGTCACACTTATTATATACATCTATCCTCGATTAAGAATCAAATTGCAGATACGCTGTCATCACTGACGATTAAGAGTTCTCTACACTCACCATACAAAACACTACAACATTAATCTGCTATTTTACGCTGATATTCTATGAGAGCTTGGTCCTACCGCGGACGAGCCCACCTATTCGTACTACAACCATAGCTGTAGCATGGCTCTATCCCGTTAGATAATTCAGAATTATATTATATTACTATTATTATTATATAAAGCAACGGTCATGGATCGTCTAAACCGGGGAAGAGCCACGATCTCACAAACTAAAGTAAAATGGCAGCTTAATGCCTTGGTGTTTTATAGGGTAAGTGAACAGAGTTGGAGACCCTTTTACTCGTAACAGGTAACTGGCATTACAGCTTAGTCCTCAGGGGTGACAACACATCTACATTATGATTTGTAATCGAAGATCTTTGTGTATCGTTGAGTCTCATCACATCGTGTTGTTGTTTTTATTGCTAGCTTCGGTCAACATCTTAGTTTCCGCAGTAGCGTCAACGTTTTAAGATTTTACCCCAATGCCTCACAAGGCGAAATTTTAAATAATCGTTTTCTTTCAGCTCCGATTTCGTGAGTACATTCAGTTGCACGTCGACGCGCTTCTCGGCTTGGTATCAAATGGACTCCTATCATAGTTTCCCGTCCGGACATACATCGCTTTCTGTTTATTGTGGATTGTTCATGGCGGTAAATATATATTTATTTGAAAAAATATTTAATTTTCTTTATAAATCATATTTTTATATTGCCCTTTATTTTAACTTTTCTGGTAAATAAAAAATATTAAATACTTCTTTCTGTGTTATATCAGCTAATACTGCAATTGCCAAAATACCTATCAAGTAGTAGCGTCAAGATACAGAAACCCTTTGTGAATGTGTATTTTTACTTAGAAGAGCTATATTATGGCTGTAACACTTATGGGTCGACTTGACCGGGGTAGGACAACGCTCCCTACATAATACTAGCGTGAAACAGCATAACACAGAATAATGCTTTGTAGGTAAGTGTAGAGAACCGGATACCCACCCGTCTTACTGTCTTACTGGTAACGATATATTCCATCCATTTGTAACAACGCATTTACACTTTGATTCTTAATCTAGGATATGTAGATATCAGTGGGTCCTTTCACTTACCATTAGGACTGTGTGCTCGCTTGTAATCCATATTTTTCACAAGCTTTTATTTAACTTGCAATGTAACTATGTTTGTTCGGGTGGAATCTTGCAACTCAATTTTGAAGCAGATATCTTCAATCGATTAAGCTGAAATTTTGTACACACGTTTAGTTTGGATGATAATGCATGGTTAGCTATGTGACGTCATTTTAAATCCAACATGCTGGAACACCCAAGATGGCAGACTAGTTCTTTTTATTGCACTCCTAGAATATGGGTATCTAATGAACCCCCCCCCCCTTCCCAAGATATTATACACTCAATATATCATATATTTTTCTTAACATCCGCCTTCCTTTTAGAACTTCATGCCCATTTTTATAGTTAATTCCAGAACTCGTGGTTTGTATAAAGGTTTTGTTAATATGTCAGCAAGCTGGTCTTTGGCACATGTTTTCAGCACCTCTAAATTTCTTTGCTCAACACGTTCGCTTATAAAGAAGTGTAATATACGAATATCTTTCGTTCGATGGTGCATTTTAATTGAAGGATTACGGGCTAGCTTTAAAGCTGACTCATTGTCAAGATGTAGTCTAGGAATACTTTCACTGCTATCAACTAAAAATCTTATTATTTTATCTATACAAATGATTTCTCTTGCTGCTTCACTAGCGGCAACTAGTTCAGCTTCTGTAGATGGTATAGTTTCTATGACATCAGTGAGAACAGTAATTCCCAACCAGTGGTCCGCAAGAGATTAAATATGGTCCACGAAAGATTTAAATATTTTATCTACCCATTCGTTTTAAATAACACATTTATTATTTCTCGTCACGCGGGCAGTACAACATCACGCGTTACGTTATTAAGTAGCTACTAGCTTTTACAATAAATACACTAATAATACTGTTAATGAATGCTTCTTTTCAGTTTATTATAATTATGTTAAATGTTGTGGTTATAATTTGTTAGATTAACACAGTTTTTGCTTTCATCTTGTGGTCCCCGCTAACTTCAAACAAATTAATGTAGTCCCTGGTCAAAAAAAAGGTTAGGAAACCCTGATTTAGAAGTTTGTGTGACTTATCTATCAAAGGTACTTTTTGGAAAGTAACGTCCCTTGAGCGAATAAGTATATGATCTATTTTCTTACAAATTCGATAACCATTGTGTCCTTCATAACCTAACAGGATTCCTTTTTGAAATTTTTTGTCAAGTTTCATTCTATTTTGTTTAAGAATATGAACATAGCACTGACAACCTATAATTCTGAGATGTTTAATAGCTGGTTTTTTGCCATGCCAGAATTCATGAGGACACTTTCCTGCAATCTTCGTTGGCCCTGTCCGATAGAAAATGTACAGGGGTATTTTAGATTTCAGCACATAGTCCTTTTGGTATTTCTTCATGAGCATTCATCATCGAACGTGCAGCCTCTACAGTTGTCCTATTATCACTATCGCATACCCTATTTTCTTCAGGAGTATATAGCATAGTCATTCTTTGAGTAACGTCATTAATGCTTAAAATGTCATGGACCTTCTGTTTATCAAATTCTCCCCCATTATCAGAAATAATTTCTCTTATTTTATGCCCAGACGTAATTATTCGCACGGACAGTACCGATTCCAGCAGCCTCGATACTTTGTCAATTAGCCCCTGTGACCGTGTGAACTATTAAAACATTCAAAATATCCAAAAAAATCCCGTCTATTGGTTATGTGACTGATAGCACAGATGTTTGTCCTTGCCCGAACGGATCTTCATAATGGCTGAACCGTTTGTAATGAAACTTCACGAACAGATCTCTATCTGTTGCAATCCTGGCATTAGTGACCTAGACTATATTTAATCTGACAAACATAGACGTTTAAAAAAATTTGTAAATTCAATGTTTTTGACCTTAAATCTAATAACGTCTAATTAGTTTTAGACAGATTTTACGCAGGCCAATGTAATAAATAAAATGAAAGGTGAATTTTATGTAATGTTTTAAATTAACGTTAAGCCACATAAAAATGACCTGATCATGTGATCAGGTCAGTTTGATTTAACGTTAAGATGTCATTCTCGTTCATTTTATAGCTTTCTATACGCGTTATCGATTGCAGGTAGTCAACTTGTTTGACCCCTACTAGTAATGCTTCAACCGCCGCGTGACGTCACGATTCACGTTGTAAAATCTGTTAGGTGGGAATTGATAAAAAACAGGGTTCCTATAGTCATTACAAATTCCGGTCGGCTAATTATTTGCTAATAGACAATATGTATAAAAGCCAACGCGTTGTCTCATCCGCACGGTCTCGCGCTTGACAACAGCTGTGAGTCTTGTACCACAAAACTCAGTGCTTGTGGCGATAAGCTACACTCGTCACACAAATTGCTATACTTAAGCGACAGTTTCTCATTTATCAAACGCCAAACAGACTTCACAATAAATTTTCTTTGCAGTGGTACCTCCAAAGACGCGCATTCGACTGGAGCCACCGCTCAGTATTCCTCGTACCAGTTCTGCAACTCATTTGCGTCACGTACGCCGTCGTGTGCTCGCTCACCAGGATATCAGACCACCGACACCATTGGTGGGATGTTCTCACCGGAGCTGTTGTTGGCATTATCTGCTTAGTTTATACAGTAAGTCGAAGCAAGAATTTTTTTAAAAGTAAGTAAGTAAAAGGTCAAAAAAAATGTATGAGAACCGGAACCTTTTTTCTGGAAACGAGGCATTTCATCTTAGTCCTAATGAATGGCTGATTCCGATTCATAATAGGGTATAGATGTAGATGTCTACAGCGTTCATTTACCAGGTGGACATTTTGCTCGTATGTCATTATTGTTCTATAAAAAAAAATAAAGAGATAAGCAGCATCAAATGTGGGAGACGTGTGGTACTGCGAACGTCAATCCACGTATAAAGCGAGACAATAAAGGCAAGACCTCCTTGGAACGGGAGAGGCCTGTGTAAAGCAGTGGACTTCTACTGCCTGAAGAAGAAAATAAGTAAATATTGAAGTTACAACCCAGTACCAATTATTAACGTAGTGTAGAGATACGCCGTGATAGAATAGGGTAAAATAGCGACATGTATTCACACACCCATACCAGTAGTTGTTGGGTGTACTACGCGTAGGTACGCTAGCACTCGTAATTACTTTGTGACTACGCACGAAGCTGTTGACGAATGTGTTTTACTAGAACAAATTGTTCCACTAGGACACATAATCACGTCCAGACTTCCTCAAAATATTTTAAGTGTACATACAAACATCGTGTGTTGCCAGTGATCAAATCATAGAAAACCGTGAGGCAGTCCGCCATAGCTTTTTCCGGAGTTCCTCTATGTGATACAATTCATCCATTCATAAATCCATTTAAATCATAATATCAAGTCAACTTACCAATCCGTTGACAAATCGTACGGCGAAGTGTGGGGCGTCCCTCCACTAGATGGAGTGACGACCTGATAAGACACGCAGGAAGTCGATGGATGCAGGTGGCTCGGGACCGTGCTTTGTGGCATTCCTTGGGTGAGGCCTATGGTCAGCAATGGACTTGTTAAGGACTGTAATGATAATGATGATGATAATCCGCAATCATATTCGGCTGACCCAGCGACCCTTTTTCTGCCGACTTCCAAAAAGGAGACGGTATTCAATTCGACTGTATGTTTTTTTTAATGTGTGTTGTTTTTAATGTGTGCTTTTTACTGGGTGAACCGATTTCGATGATTCTTTTTTTATTTGAAAGCTGGTACTTCTCGTGTGGTTCCATATGAATTTGATCAAGGTCAGACCAATAGTTTTTGAGTTATTCTTAGTTATTTTTAATAACTTATATTGAAGTCGGCTGTACAAAATTTTTAATTTTAAATTATTACTGGTAACAAATCATTTTATCTTAGTCCTCAGGGTGCAGAATGTATCTGCATTTAGATTCTTAATCGAGGAGTAGGTCGCAACATCCACTTACCATCAGGTGGACTGTATACTCTTTGAAGTAAGAGTGAAATTCTTCAACTAAAACTTTTTTCTGGCTTACCGTAATGTCACATTTGATGTTTGGTTTACGTGAGTTTGAATTCGCTTGTTCACAGGTAATCGTCCTCTGCGACAACTTCTCTTACGCGGAAAAAGTAAACACAGAAGATATCAACATGACAACAAGCCAACAAACCACAAGGACTACTATATGATAAAAGGATCCAAAGACCAGTTTAAAAAAAATGTAAATAGAATATTGTATATATATGTTAGGTAATATTATCAGGTACATTTTGTAAATTTAAGAAGCAGATTTTTTATAAAAATGACGAATCAAGTCTCTAATTAGCCAGAGACTATGAGGAAAGAAAAATCACGTTGGTTACGTATAGTGTATAAAATTAATTCCCTGACATTCATTTATGAAATTAATATCGCATTTTCTTTTATCAATTATAGATTGTTATTTGTTCACTTTTTATTTTTAAAACACTTATGTTTTTTGTATATGTTATTTTTGTATATGGCAATAAAATAGACTAGAAAATTATCTAATATACAATATTATTATGGTAGCATGATGCTGCAACGTCTACGGTTGCAGCACAAATGGGTTGGCTAGACAGGTGGAGGACCGCGCTCTCACAGATACCAGCATAAAATAGCAGCTTAAGCTGCATTTCATGTGTGGTAGGAAGCAAGAACCCGAGGGTATTTTCACTGGTAATGCTTTCCATCTTGTGAAAACGTTGCTCCTGCATGTTGATTCTTAAACGAGGATAGATTTTGGTGACGATAGACCACAGTCCTTGCCCTTATTTTTAAATACATAAGTTTAACTTGCAAATATCTGACAATTGTGTGATGGGAAATTAATTATAAATAATTATTAATTGTATCTCAGTATTGTATTGGTAAGTCTCGCACCAGTTTTGTGTAAAGGTAATACTTTCTTTTGTAAAAAAAAAACTATGACGTAATAATTTGTTTTATTTAATAATACCCTAATTTATTTAATATGACTAGTAAGACCGTGTAGTGTCGGTGTAAGAATATCCAGAACCCCGTGTTATGGTCGCGTGGGTATCGTAAGCGGCTACACAGGGAAAAAGTCCCGCTGGGTTTCTTGCTGGTTCTTCCCAGGTCAGAGGTATTATCTGAATCAGTGGTAAATAAAAATTACTTTCAATAAGTATTATGTAATAATCTAAATTGAATAAAAATTATTCTATTCTATTCTAAACAAATCAGACGATGGGTACCAGCGTCTTCCTTATAACAACCAAGAAATAAAAAACTGCGGTTGGCAACCAGTCACTACAGCAAATATCCCTATATGAGGTAGTCTATGGGGAGATAGGAAATTACCATGTAAGAAGACTTATCGCTCATTTTCATGTCCGTTAGGTCTGACATATCATATACTACTTCGTATATACCAGAATGTAAAACGGCAAATCCTTTCCACTATGTGAGATGACTTTTTTACGTGGTAGAGCCAGGCTGCAGCTATATTAGTAGTATAGTTATAACACGAATGGGTCGGCTCGACTGGGGAAAGACCACGCTCTCACAGAAAACCAGCGTAAAATAGCAGCTTAACACTGCTGTGTTTCGTATGGTGAGTGTAGAGAACCGGAGACCCTTTTTACTGGAAAAGAGTCATTCCATCTTAATCCTCACGGGTAACAACGCATCTGCATTTTGATTCGCAAACGAGGATAAATGTAGCTGTCTATGGGCCACAGCAACCACTTACCATCAGGTGGACTGTGTGCTCGTTTGTCACCCTATCCTACAAAAAAAACTTCAGTGAATTGTATAGCGTGATAAAAAAGGATAAAGTTTTCTATATAATTAAAATAAATATATACAAAAAAGCCTGTGGTTCCCTTTAAGTGCGTTATCACAATCAATGTTTAAAAATATAGAAATAACTTTAATACAGAAAACTCGACCATATAAAATTAAATTAACAGGTAAATAAAACTACATGCAAATTAAATTTTATTTAAATCTATTTTTTTTATGATTGAGTAAATACGGACTTAACTAGGAAACTATCCACTGAGTGACTCACGACTTCCTTTTGGGGCCACCGCCACCACCCTCTTAGTAATACCAGTGCATCCACTCGGGTGCCAGCCAGTGTAATTACAGTATGTTAGCATTTTCATTAATGAGGGCCTTCACGACTTTTTCTGCCACCAGGGCGGCGCCACTGGTGACAGAAAAGTGAAGTGAGGTATAATATTTGACAGATTTTATAGCGGGGAAGTTAGTTTGTTCGAAAAATGTAAAGATTATTGTTTCTGTCTGTACTATTAGCTATATTTTATATTAATAGGATTAAAAATAAATAAACCAATCCACAGATATTCATTAAGTAGAAAAATTAAAAAAAAAGTTAAAAATATGCAAAAAATTAAAGAGCAAACCACTGACTCATTCTTTTGTGTATCAATATAACACTCTGGAAACTGATGAAATTTTATTAAAAAAACAACTTCTCAATTAAATTACATTGTGTACCAAAAAACTTTACCTCAGTGTCAACTAGCGACATCTGATGAGCAGAAAATTATTAGCCCTCATTGTAGGGTGATAACGCTTTTGTGGTTATACTTGTTTTTAGTTGGTTGCAGGTCACTTTAACACAAGGCGGTAGAGTCATGCTGCAATTGCATTTCGTCTACTGCACACTCACACAGGTCACCAGTATGAAATAGCAACATAATACTGCTAATTTAGTGTGTAGTAATGTGTAGAGAACGGAGGCTCTTCTAACTGATAACATGGCTTTCTATCTTAGTGCTCAGAAATATTACACGTCTACATGTTCAGGTCAGCTCGGCCGGGGAAGGACCACGCTCTCACAGAATACGAGCGTAAAATAGCAACTTAATGTTGATGTATTTCGTATGATTAGTGTAGAAAACTGGAGAGGTTTTTTATTGGAAACGAGGCATTTCATCTAGTAAGCTCTCAGTGGTGGCAAAGCATCTACTTTTTGATTCTAATTTGAGGATAGATGTAGATGTATATGGGCCACAAAATCTACTTAACATCAGGTGGACTGTTTGTTCTTTTGTCACCCATATTTTATTTAAAACGAAAATTACTTTCTTTCAATTATTATTTTTATAAAACGTTACCTCCATACTAGGATTTTCTCCTGTATCGTGGGGGACGTTTGCATACATAAATTTCACAAGGACAAAGATCCAGACCCGGAACAATTATTTATAGGCCATACAAATACTTGTTCCGTGCTGGATTCGAACCCGCGGCCCTAAGCGCAGCAACTCATTGCTAAGCCACTGCGCCACCGAACCGTCAATCCATGAATAATCCGTGAGTAATCAATGAATAAGGAATCCTTATTTGATTCCTTATTCATTAGATAGATGTATGTATGTCTTGTTAGTATGGACCGCAGTATCCACTTACCTTCAGGTGGACTATGGGCTCCTATGTAACCCTTAGTTCTATAAAAATGAGCCATAGCTTCTAGTAATAAATTTTATATAATTAAAATTTTAATCTAAGATAACTTTATGTTATATAATTTTATTTTACATTATATAAGATGTTCATCTCCTCAATCCAATCAAATAATCCCTTCAATGTTATTACACCATTATGTATAGTCTTTCCTACTGTTGTTTGTGGTATAAAATCGCAAGCGACTTAAAACTTTAATACGTACCTAATAAGGTCAACAATGCATGGTATATTGACGGCAGATATAGGCTTCAGCCCTTTAGTTACAGATTTATTTATTATGTTAGTACGTAACTAGACATTGCACAACGCACCTATTCGGAGAGCCATTATGGATGATTACCGAAATAAGGATGTTCCGAGATCGATTCCCGTGTGATGCAACGCTTTTGTTACGATGATTTATTCAGTCGATTTACAGACGGCCTCAGGATGTGACGTTTTGTTGGCTTTGACGTTGAGACAGCATTCATATTTATAATGAATTTAAAACAAAACAGAAAAAAGTATAAAGATTCCATCGAATAATCGATTAGTAATTGATATATGTACATACATAATATATAGAAATGAGATATAACCCAACGATTAGCGTACCCGGAGAGTCATGGTTCTGAGTTTGAAATACAGTTGGTAATATAGTTGTAGCACGAATGGGTCGGCTAGACCGGGGAAGGACCACGCTCTCACAGAATACCAGCGTAAAATAGCAGCTTAATGCTGCTGTGTTTCGTATGGTGAGTGTAGAGAACCGGAAACCGTTTTTACTGGAAACGAGGCATTCCATCTTAGTCCTCACGGGTAACAACACATCTGCACTTTGATTTGTAATTGAGGATAGATGTAGATGTCTACGGGCCGCAGCAACCACTTACCATCAGGTGGACTGTGTGCTCGTACTCATATCCTATAAAAAAACGTAAGAGATGCAGGAAGTCGATGGTGGCTCAGTACCTTGCTTTGTGGCAACCTTTGGGGAGGCCTATGTTTAGCTGTGGACCTGTTGTGATGATAATGATGAGCATGATGAAGAAAAGAAATCATTCAAAGAAATCAAAAACACAAAAAGATTATTTTAGGAGAAATATTAATAATTAATAATAAATATAATCCTAGTGTGGGGGTAATGTTTTTAAAAAGAAAAAAAAAGAAAAATATTACGAGCAAGTTATGATGAGTGAGTAGTTCTATCTACGACATTACAGCACTTATTTAGGTATATATTATTGTGCATTTCAGTTGTCTGCCTGAAAACTGAATCACATGAGTAAATGCTTGAATGCCCCTTGCGCAGTTAATAGCTTCAAACCTTTTTGCAAGTGTTCGAAATGGGGCAGTAAGACATCAATGATGTCATTATTAATGTTGCTACATTAAAATTAATTTACTAACAAGGGAGCTGTCAACCCTGTCCGAATAAAATAGAAATTAGCTATTATTCTCTGTCAATTTAATAAAATAATGAATCACGGAAAGTTGAAACAAAATAAACCGCTCGCTATCGTCCGATAATAAAGCGCGAACAATGGAGCTAACAGGTCATTGTTTATCTTATTTTATAGGGTTGCCATGTGTCTGGTGCTTTCAGAAATCGCCTTTGTTTCGCTTGGTTAATAAATATCGTATAATTAACGTGTAGAGCCACGCTGCAGATATATTATAGTTGTAGCACATCTAGGTTGGATCGACTGAGGACCACGCTCTTACG